TTTTTTTTTTTTTTTTTTTTTGGGAGCATGCTTCGCAGTTCCCGTTTGCTTCCGTCGCCAGAGTCATTCCCGTGGATGGTCTTTGGTTTGACGATTCCCTTTCCTCAAAGAAAACGGCACGTCGATCCCCTTCTTGGAGTTTTGCCATTTTCCCATAATTGAAATTACCCTTAGGAATTACGTATTGTTTTTCTGGGGCATGAGAATATTACTCCTAACCCATAATGAGGTAGAACGTCTTATTTTTCGAAGGATACGTTAGCTGTATTGTTTCTTTGTTTATTTCATTTTTTTTTTTCCTTTTACTTTACGATATCATTTAAAACCGGCCGAGACTGGACGATTGATATTCGTTGGGGACGTCTAACTTATACGTAATCAGGTGGACAATAGGAGCGGGTTGAATGCACGGCTAATTAAGGATAATTGCTCTGCTAAAGTAGAGAATAAACGACTGGAGAATAAAGGAGGAAAAGAAAATTGCGAAAGTCCCGAGACTGTCGAGTCTTAATTTCCTGACATGTAACACCGTCACTTCCAGTCATCTTTTTCTCGTTGTATCCTCTGCAAAGTCTCCACGTCGGCATCTTACGAGCAGTCTGTTACATTACGAAGCATCCTTGTGGCTCGGGAATTTGGACGTTCTTATTGTTGGACGACCTGCGGGTGAAAGTAAACAAACGGGATGACACGTGTGCAGAGTGAAGGCATCGCGGAACAAGTGTGTTCCATAACTCCAGGAGCATGTGCCGTGTAGATACATAAGTACAAAGTAGAGAAAATAATGGAGGATTTCGCAACTAGATCCGACCGATGGGTCACGTGACTCGTGTTGTTTTTCAAAGAGAAGGCTTTTGGATGGCATTAACGATTGCAGGTACTTTCTACGATACGAGTCCCGTGTACAGTGAGAACTTTGTAATTTCCTTGACCGTTCGACGCGAGACAAGAGAACTGCTGAAAGGCAGGCTGCATCGGGTGGCTGAAATCTGGGCTTTTTTATGCGAATATCATGTAAATGTAGATTTTCCTTAGTCCACAAAGTCATTTCTGGCCGAACGCTTTTGGGTGGAGCTATAAGAAAAGTAGCTTGAGAATGTAGATATTTTGAAATGTTGTCGCAACCGCCGGCAAGGCCAAAGTTTGGGATCGCAGAAAGACGGGTTGGCCTGTACCTTGGATCGCTTCGATTCTGCGCTTCGTCGTAGCTATGAAAATCACCGGAGAGCTACGTCATAAACTAATGTCATAAACGTAGTAAACGCTTCTTCGCATTCTTCCGCTACATCTTCATCTTCCTCTGGCACCAGTGTGTCTGGGAACTAACAAAACGGTGTATAGCAAGGCTTGGATTCGCTTTTGGGCAACCGAGACAATTTGAAGCCTCTTAAAGGCAGATTCGATGTCATTTTCAGAGCGCCTTCAAGAAACCCGCGACGCTCTTCTCCACGCAGTCCAGACTAAAACTGGAAGCAGCGCAGAAGCTGGTCAAACCGGGACTCCTCGAGAACGACCTCCAGGTAGAACCAGCCACGACGATAATATCCCTCGCGAAGAAGAGTACCGAGAGACCAACAAAGTTCAGCATCTCCAGCAAAGGCAACGTGGAGCAGATCACGCGGAGGGTACCTGCGCTCGAGGCTTCCAGCCTGGTCAAGCCAAAATATGCCCTGCAGAAGCAAAACCGTCTTTCCGGAAGCAGAGCAGCTTCCAGACCCGAGGAGTTCAGCACCGAAAAGAGTTCAGATAATTTCATTGTCGAGAGGTCGACCAGGACGTATAATCCAAAGTCCAGGACGACCAGAGTAGTTGAGGAACCTGCCGTTGAGAGGGCTACGACCTCGAAGACCCTAGGAATAAAGAGGCCCAAGTCGTTCGGGGCCGTGTCCCGAGAAACCGAGAAGGTCTTCGACCGCACTGTGCACCGGACCTTCCAGCAGAAGGTCACCGATGTTCCCAACGAGGTCGAAGACCTTCCGACACCCCCAACTGCACCAGGCAGATACACCAGAAAGAAGACCGAAGTTTTTCGGCCTTTCAATCCCATCCCGAAAAGCCTGAGTACGGCGGATCCTCTCCTGTCCAGGAAGCGGGACTTCCGTCCACGTACCGCGACCTACAGAAGGCACTCGGAATTACCCACGGAACCGGTAGAGTCGGCTACCAATAACGAAGCCATCAGCGTGGCCATTACGCCAAGAATCCCCAAATTTCATGCCACGATAAAAACAAGCACTCCGGCGCCGAGATCGGTCCCGGCCGAGCCTGTCCTGAGCGTCAGCGTTTCCGGCGACGCAAGCGCCCCCTCGCAATCGGTAGGCATCTCCGACAGTAGTAATGGCGCTAGCGGAAGTGACGCGAGTAATATATTCAGTCCGACCAGAAGTGCCTTCCTCGCGAGCAGGAACACGTCCCTCTTGGAGCAGTTGAGAAGCACAGTGGCGCCCCTTCTGGGAGCTCTTGGAACTAAGACGCCCGTGTTTTCCGGCGCCTACCGCAATACCAACAGTGCAGTAAGTGTGTCTCCGTCGATCCTAAGAGTGAAAAATCCCCTCTAACGCTTTGCCTCTACCTTTGCTTGTTCTAAATTAGAATTCGGTGGCCAGGATCACACCCAGTGGAGCGCCGCCAAGATTCAGCGCCAGATACAAGGGTGCTGAACTCTTCGTCAGGAGACCCAACGTCTATCGACCCACAGTGCCATCCGTCACGAGTTCCACGACGCCCTTCGCGCCAGTCGAGGTAAGGCCGTCTAATGGATTTCGAACGGACGATTATTTAACCCAAAGGAATGTCTAACAGGTCGGGAAAGAGTTACCTAACGCGTGTAACATGTATAACGCAGTAAAGGATCATCATGATCATTGCTAACAGAGTGGTAGTATTTAAGAAAGCATGTGCATGGTAATTTATTATCTAATTAGGTCCAACTAATTAATAACATCGGATGCTAATTTAAATAAGATAAAGATAATATAATTTATGTCGAATCTAGTAAAATGACGATTTGTCAAGAAAAGAAAAAAAAATTAATTTGGAGCCTGATTGTGAGAGTGAAAAAATGAATTGCTCTTTTTTTTTATCATTTGAAGAATCAGGTGAAGGTTCTAGAATCAGGTAAGCTGAGCCCAAGGACTTGAGGTCATGTTTCTTTACTTATTAAGGTGGTCACTCCGGGGATTCCTGGATCTGCCAGGGATTTTAATTCGTCGGAGTGGAGAGACGTTGTTACGCCTTCCTGGACCGACTATCTTCGGGTCGCCAACATTCGCTCTGGAACTTCCGGTTCGCACGTCATCGACACTAACGCTCTTCGATAATGATTACTCGCGCTAACGATCGACAGCACCACGCCTCTACCCCTTTGCGTTGCATCTGACGATCACGAATAATTTGTGATCGTTGGAAACACGTCTTTAAGTTCTTTTTTTTTCATCTTTCTCAACGGTCTCCTTGGTCAGTACGAAAATTCGCTTACGCAAAATTCTCAAGTGACGTATAACACAATTGCTGAATCGGTAACAGGGATTTCACGTAAAAGCAAAAAAAAAAGAAAAAAAAATGATTGATACTAACATGTCATTCGTCATTAGCATTAAATTCCTGTTAATATTACGCGAATTTAAATATATACTCGCCATGTCATACTTAAACATATATACCATGTTCATGTACAATATAAATAACAGTACATAGATATACATACATATTTTTCGTAATAAATACACTGTTCTTGCAATGCACGCGACATAGTGCAGTTCCTTGTTACCCAACCTGCCTGCTGCGTGTACGTGCATTACACGCTCAGTACTGGTAATTTACTAATGAATACCAAAAAGTCGAAGGACTGAAGAAAAAATTGAAACTGTTCATCCTCAGCCCGATTCTTCCAAATGGCTACCAAATGGCTACCACCTTACAAAAGTACATAATCAGTTTCCAAAAGTCAGTTACCAAAAATGGAAGGACCGAAGGACAAAATTGAAACTGTACATCCTCAGCCCGGTTCTTCCAGTGGCTACCAAATGGCTACCACCTTACAAAAGTACATAATCAGTTTCACAATTCTATCGGTAGCAACGACCTTTCCAGTCGGAGCCATCGCTATCCGTCTCATTTTATTTTTTTTTCTTTATTATCACTTTTTCCTTCACTCCGTACTAATTAGCGCGCAAACCAATGGATTCCGCAATCGCGCGATATATTAATCTTAAGAATCCGCCTTTACCATCCTCATAATGCGAATTCCGTGTGTTCCCTGTGTTTCGCGTGGGTTAGTTCGGCACGAACGAGTGAAAGTACAAACTGAGCAAGGCGGCTGTGTTCACGCGGCTGCAAGTAGAGACGCGGACACACACAGGCGCTCGCATTTTAATGTGGAGCGACACGACTACACTTGAAAACGCCGATCTGGGACAGAAGTGTGCCTCGATAGCAGCGGAGTGGCCAATCAGAAGGAGAGAAAGAAAAAATAAGACGAACAAAGAAAAAAGGAGCAAGTCGTGCGACGAGGCCGACCTGGGTCCCCCGTTTCTTTTTTCCCCAGTTTTTTGTTATCCTCTCTGTTGCTCATTTCTTGTGTTTTCAATTGGTACTTTATGCTTCTTTCTATTCTCTTCTCCACAATTAACCCCACGTGTCAACCTAGCCGAAGCGGAGCACAAGGATAAGTCCTGGAGGACTCGGCAAGAGGCCTATAGAAATTGCAAGTGTCTCTGGTCCTTTTTACTATTGTAGTTGAGGAAGCCTCCGCGCTGCCAGGATCCGGCATGCAGTCGAGCGTTTCCACCGTTCGGCTTGATCGGCGCTAATCTCTCTAGTGTGTATGCATATGTAGAAATGTAATATAATGTATCTGTAGAAAATATCCTACGTGGATTTCATATCTAGTACTAACAAGTTGGAGTGGGGTGCGTGAATCGCAGGTAGTTTGCAAGATGTATATATCCTCTTTTTGTTATAATGACAGTAATTCGGATTTGCAATATTGTTACTATATTACGCAGCCGTAGATAGGGTAATTATTTGTTACGATTGGAAAGATGGATTTTGACCTTATAAAAAGAACTAGTGCAACACGAGTAGAAGTCACGCGTTTACCAAGGTGCCGGTCAGCTACCCGTATAATGGTTCTATAATTATATAGCCAGCTACGTTTACTTTCAAAAGCAATATAATCCAATATGAAATCCTTCTGCCACCTAGTCGAACTATCTTCAACCTCACGAACGAGTTTGATCCTCTTACTCCAGCGCCATTGCACTAGTCCATGAATACGCTTTATCTAGAACCCGGTAGATAGGCTTACCTTCTCCCGAGAGTAGTTCGTGAATCTGCCAAGAGATGGGGGAGCGTTCACTTGCGATGTACGTGTACGTACATAAAAACAACAACTGACTTGCCGATGGGTGCGAAGATCGGTTCAAAAAGAAAATAATAATAATTTGGAGATAATTATCGGAGTGTCGTTGGTATTACGATTTTATATTCAAAGATTTCAATGTATATTCAATAATTTAATTTCTTGTAAATATCGATTATTTATATTTACTCGTAAGTTCACCAACTTCACAAGCACCGATTGCCCGTGTACAGCACCCTTGCACCTTTTGATTTCAGAATGCAGGCGCTCAGCCGCCGATTGTCGTAACGAGTCCTGGGGAACCCAAGGTCGTGACCTTCTATCAGGCTCTGGAGACTGCCAGTATTACCAATCAACTACAAACTGACATACTGCAACAGCAACAACAGCAACTCGGCAGAGTTGCTCAGGTAGACGCGAACGCCACTGATGGTGACACTAACGGCACAACTAACGCTAACAATGACACCACAACAGTACCAACAATAACAACAACAATAACAACAACAACAAGTGACAATTCACAGAGTACAGTAACAACAGCAGACACTACCACCAGCCAGCCAGACACAACACAGAGCCCTGAAATCAGCCAGAGATTATTGGAAACCTCGACTGCGCCTACCGTTTCTACCGATGAGAACACTCTGGTTACTACTTCCGTTCCCGAAATGACTTCCGCGACAGTCACTGACCCTAACCAGACCACCCCTGAAGTCACAGAAACTACCCCTGCACAGACACCTGAACTCTTCTCGAGATTACAAGAAACAACAACCGGCTTCTCAATCTCTTCGGAGGATCTAAACGAAATAACAACTACTTACGGAGCATCTAGAGACACTACTATGATCTCCAGTGAAATTCCGGAAACCATCCTTATGCAGAATTTGGAAGTCTCCTCCAAATTGGTAGAGGTCACATCAGTACCATCTTCGATGATGGGTACGATCACTACTCAGTTATCTGAAACTACAACAATGTCGACGACTGAACTTGCTCCAGTGGATATGGTTACCAATCAGCCAGACGCGATACAAAACTCGACGGAAGAGAGTATTCTGGATAGCTCTTCAGGAACTTCAGAATTAAGCACGGAGATGCAGAGCAATATGCAAACGACAGAATTTCAAGAAACAACTCCCTCCGTGATGGATGCGAGTCCGAATGTTTTGTCCCGGTTACAAGTGGAAATCGAGACTGCGACGTCCGCAGCCGAAACGACGACAAGCGTCTTAGCTGAAACGACACAGAGCACTTCAGGAAGTGATACCATGATCACCCCTGGGATCCCTGAGTCCAGTACGCAATTGTCGAGCCGCGTAGCGGAGTCTACGACTATCGTCCAGGTAACGGAACAGCGGGATGCCGAGATCACGACGATACCATCTCCAATAAATTCTGAGGATACGACAAGCACATCACTAGTCAGTACACCAATTACACTAACGACAGAGTCGGAAAACAACACTGCAGTCACCACAACACAATCGGTTCTGGACGCGTTATCTCTCGGGGATGAAACTTCTGTAGGGACAGATCGAATTCCTGATTCGACTGTTCCAACAGATGCTGATCAGGATAGTGTTACTGTGGGACTTGTTAACGATAACGTCGAACAAATTCAACAGACGGTTGGTTCAGGAAATTCTGAGACAACATCGAACCCTGTTGCGAATAACGATATGAAAATAGATACGGTTCCGCAAGATCCTAGGGCTTCCATTGTTTTAGATACGACAACAGAAAATTCGCAAACAACTATCAGTGTAATAAATTCACGTTTAGCTCCAGTCGAACAAAATTCTCAGATTATTGACGATACAACGTTGGTAGGAGATTCACTTAATTCAAACGTTATAGATATTACCACGCAGACGTCGCAAATGCTTGGCGATACAACAACTATAAATTCCCAAGACTCAAAAATTGTTGACACGACTCTGAAAAATTCACAAACGACACAGCAAATGCTTAATCTCGAAAGTACATCTGCAACATCAATGACAACTCCAACGACAGAAATCCCGTTAGAGAGCACTACGACGCGACAAGATGTTGTCGTTGAAAATACAACTCCGATTTCGATTACGAACGAGAACTCCATGTTAGCGCAATTAATGACTATGACGTTGAACTTCCCAGTACTTGAAGATACTACGCAATTAGTCACTTCTCAGGAGAATAACATAGACCCCATCGCTACTACAACAACAACACCCAACATTGTACAAACAACATCTGAAATTACAACAGAAAATTCGTCTGATAGTTTTCTACTCGGAGGATTCCTAGATAATACAGAGAGAAAAGATTTAGAAATGAACGCGCAAACTACTCAAACAGCTCAAACAACAATAACAATACCCATAGAATTAAACCGATCGGTTGAAACTTCGGCACAAACGGTATCAGACACAACTGAAAATACACAAATAGTTCAGGTACCAGAAACTACCACAATGACATTAGAAAATGTCGAACAAGCTACGATGTCCAGTACAGCAGAAAATACGGAAGCTGCACGGACATCAGAAAATACTATAGTTCCTACAGAGAGTACAGATCAAACGACAACTTTTACCTCATTAGAAAATTTCGATGTAACTACAACACTGGAAAACAGAATCCAAGTAGAAGTAGAAACACTGACCCAATTCCAACAATCGGTAACACAAGACACGAACAATTCCGATACAACACCCGAGATCACAGCCAGACTCTTAGACATAACAATGAGTCCCATGCAGCCCACCAGCCCCGTGACTCAAGCACAAGAGAGAACAACACTAATAACAACCACACCAATCATAACGGAGCAGGCTCAAACGAATCTAGGAAGCGACACCACCACCGAAGTCACAACTAACCAGCAAATCGAAACAACCCTCACGACCACCCCTACTACCACAACCCCTAACCTAACAAGCGATACTCCAACTATGCTTGACCCTTTGCAGGACACTACTACGCCAGCAACCGCCCAAAGGACGGCAGGTGACCAGGCAACCACACAACCTGACCAAACGACTTCTCCTAGTATACCCGAAACAACAACCATGGCTTCCATGACAACCATCGGTTCGTCATCTTCGTCCTTGTCGTCCTCCGATTCCCCTCCAACCACAACGACCGTTGTGTCTACGACTGATACGACACTAGAGACAACCACGGAAACGCCGACAACTTCTCCAGCGATGATTGCTGATCTTATGGCTACGGCGGTACCCGAAACAACTACGGTGGTCAGTGAAACAACTGTACCGGAAATGACTACGAGCCAATCCGAGACAACCATAAGTCTAGATGATAATATCATTCCGGATTCACTGGATGCCACGACTATAGCTGCTGCCGGAATTGATACGACCACAACATCTCCCATGACCACCCCCATAGTGGATATCATGCCCAGGATAAACACTGGAGAAACTACAACAACCGACTCCAGCAACACGAGTAACACTCAAACGACAACCACTTCATCGAGTTCTGCGAGTACCACTACGCAGTCTCCCACTGTGATAACCACGATGATGGACACAACAACTATTCCTAGTGCAACAACGACGGAAGTCACTACCATGGCTGCGACCATGGCTAATACAGCATCTAGCACTACCACGACTACTCAACAGCCCCCATCAACGACTCAATACCTTGGTCGGTTCGGCGGTAGCAGACTGACACCAGCACCGCGATTCAGCTCCAGTTCCTCGACCGCAGCTCCGTTAAGAGACTACGTGGTTTATGGGATCTATCCAAACAAAACCATAGTGCGTAAGCGGCCCGAGGACAATCTGATCGACGCCAGGAACGTTGACAGTCCTTATGTCATATTCGGGATCTACCCCGATGGCAAGCTGGTACGCAAGTTCCCGAACGGGACCATAATCCCGGACCCACCAAGGAACCCCGTGGAAGTCGTGTTCTCGCTTCGTACTACCACTAGCACCACTAACCGGCCCGGCCCTGTTTTCTATAACCAGGCTAACCAAGGCTATTATAACCAGAACGCTGCACTCTATAATAACCGTCCCGTAGCCAACCTCGACCAGCAAAATGGTTTTGGTGACTTCAATCTCGGATTTACCGGTAATGCGATTGGTCCTACTGGAGGAGCCAGACCCGATTTCACGAGCGTTGGTAGAACGACCGTCACCAGGAAAATGGTACTCTACTCTATTCATCTTCATCGTCTTCCTCAGCTGTATTTATAGTTATCTATTTTATTCTCTAACATTTGACATTTTATTTTCCATTTTATTGATGAGAACACTCACTTGCAAATCAATCTTTGGTCCACGTTCGCGTAGCGCGATGCTTGCATTTATATTCGAATGTAGGGCCTCCTTTGTGCGGCCCTTATACGAGCAAGATCAAAGATATTACCTTTTTAAGTTTACCGTATCGTCTCTCTGGCCATTTTTATACGATTAACGTTTCTAATATTTCTACAGTTACTGTGACTAATGTTTTCGACCTTTTCGGTTTCTTCCTTTTCCAGGACAAAATATCGAAATTTGATGTCTCTATGGTAAATTTTGTATATATCGAATTCCACCTGATAATTGTATATTGTTGTACATACATACATGTAGGCACGTTTGTTATGCACACAGTAGACGGTCGGGCACAGTGCACTCTTAAGAGTTTGACTTTAGTCATTGTCATTTTTCGATATTTTTCTAATTCTGTAGTATATTGTTTGGTGATAGTCTTCACATTCTGATATTTTGTATCTTTATACACCATTTAGCTTCTTGCCTCTTTCTGTTAGTTCAGCAATAAATTCTCGTTTCTAGAGCGATGTTTTATTAAACACGCAAATGGGAACACGCGCGAATACTGCGTCAGAAATAGCCGATTTGCTACCAACCTCACCAAACTCAAATTTGGGATTAGCCAGTACGACTGGGGTGCCATCGTTGAGTGGAAATTTGCAGGGTGGTATGATAATACAAGATACTGAAAAGGACGAGGCTACCAGGAGCAAAGAAAGTGGAAATCAACGCACTTCGGTTTACATTGGACAGGTATCGATATGAAAATGTTTTAAAAGTTTCCTTTTCGCTCAAATATAAACAAATTTTATATTTCTAGGAAAAATTCATTAACTACTGGAGCGACAGTACTCCCAATACGAACCCTCGGGTTTTGAGCGTTAAAATAAATTCCGCCGCCGTAAGTAAACACTTTTCGTATTTTTATACAAAGTGTTGTTCTTACTTTGGTAAGAGTATTTATTTTTGTATAGACCTCAGCTAATGTAGGACCCGCGTCCGCATCAGCATCCATACCGTCCTTTGACATTCTGTCCAATGGCCAATCAGGCGGTCAGGTAACGGCGCCGCCTGGATTCCCATGGCAAGATCCTCTGGATCAGATTTTTGGAATTACCACAGAGTCGTCTGTACGAGCAGCTTCCGTTGCGTCAAACACTTTGGTCAGTCTTTGTCTTTTAATAATTAACAAATATTAATTTATAATCAACAGTTTAACATATGTTGTTGTTGTTATAGGACGATACCAGTATTTCCGTCAACGGTTCCATCATAGTTAGGCCCATTAATCCTTTCGTCGAGGTTTTCACTCCGGTCTCCAGCACGATTGACTCTACAGTGACAACATCGACAACAACAACAATGGTACCTACTACAACGAGTGTAGCTCCTATCACTACTACCACCAGCTCTACGACAACTACTACCGAAGCGCCAGCGACTACGACGCCAGCAACAACAACAACTACTACAACAACTACTGCAGCTCCCACTACAACCACAACGACAACCACTACCGCAGCACCTACGACAACTACAACCACAACTGCAGCTTCAACAAGTGCAGAGCCAATTATGTCAACCGAATCAAGCATACCTAAAAATCCGTCTACAATGAGTTTTCAGAAGCAGAACGCCTTTGGTACAACTTACGATGATCTGGCACTTCTTAATGCCTTGGTACGTTGTCTAATGGCAATTAGCTAAATTAATTAATCATCCAAAACAAATTATTTCCAAATTTCGAATATTCTTGAGACAGCCTTGAAATTGATTTTAGTTGCAGACACCAAATTCAGGCACTTCGGCCCCCAAGCCACTATCGCAAGCAGAACAGCTACTGGCTAATAAGGTAACGCAATTAATCTTACAGACTATCATCATAAGTGATTTTTAATGATCTATTCCATGTCGAACGTGAGACGCAGGTCCTCCCGAAAAATCATGTGAAAAAATCATAGATTTTTCAAAACAATTACTTTTCTAGCTTCTTTATCGCTTAATCTTTATCGCTTAATGGAAACCAATTAACATCCCTCCTCCTCTTGAATTTTTTATATTATTACGCCGAGTAACAACGCAACAACAAATGGAAAGTGATCGGTACAATTCTCCTGTTTTATGGTAAAAAGTTCCAACCAACGTACCAGCTCGATACGTTCGACCTGTCCTTTCACTATTTACACAACTTGTACCTATAGTCGCGCACCATTTTGCCATTATTATTACGAGCATTAGCAATAATTTCCCGACAGCAGCCTCGAGTACGCAGTAAAAATATTCACGGCAATCTCTGAATCATTCACAACCGGAAACGCAAGGATGTAGGAAAAAAAAAAGTGTGATGACGAAGCATAAGTGGCGAAAATCTTATTCTGCCATAATTATATCGTATCTTTCAATACTATTTTTTATATCCAATAGGCCACAAACTCCACTCGAGATAATACCAATAAGAAAATCGATAACGATCGATTATTATCGATGAATAACGATCGTTACGGGTCACAGTGAATGGTCAGGGCGACCTTGCCGACGGCCTTCGAGTCCCTGACGTTCGACAGTCACCCGATAATCTATTTTTACCAGGTCCTGTCGCGCGTTTCGTGACGATCTGCTTTCCTCATTGATGCAGACGACGTGCTTAAAGTTTAAAAAAATTCATCTTATGGAAATACTCAGCACGAAAATGGTCTCCTTGGAATGCCTTGACTTTACGTATGGTAGAACAAAGCTCGGGAAGCGAAAGTTTTAGATACACGCGGTACTGCTACCTCCCGGAGGAACGAAGAACTTTCGAAGATACAAAACGTGTCCGTTATGTTCGGAGCAGGTTCACAAGAGTTTGCACTGAATCGCACCTATTTTTAGAACTGATTCAATCAGCTCAAATCTTATCCGCGCAGAGTACGCGGTGACCATTTATTCGTCGCGGCAATTAGAACCGTGTGGGCCAGCGGCCATTCTTACGGCTTCGTGTACATTACTGTTCATTCGAAATGAACCGTAGCACAAGCCACATATGACGTATATTTATTGGAATGCGTTGAAAAGAGACAGCCGATGTCTAAAACAGTTAAAAAATTATGATTATTCGAAATCGTATTCGTAATTGTATAGATAATTAGGTTATATTTAGAAAAAATGTTATAAGCAATATTTGACGAAAGAATTTCCCCGATTAATACTAAGCTGAACAGCCCTGTATATAGTGCTGTTCGTAATTACAACGCGAATCGCCCTGCGGTAATTGTCTCGGGTGGGAGAAATCGGCATTGAAAGTTGCGAGTTGGATGACGTCAGATGATCCAGTGACTCGAGCGCTTCTTTGTGCCTGACTTATTATTGTATAGAGCCGGCAGCCATTTTGAAGACACTTTGTCGCATGAGTTGATTGCATTTTGCCACGTACGCATTTTGACGATCGACAATCGATTGTCCGGCAGTCCTGCTTCCAGTTCCGGTATGTGTGCATGTATATTCTTTTGTTTTTAAATCCAGATTCTCTCCTTGGCTCTTGGGAATCCAGGACCGACAAGATCGCCCAAGGCGATCGGACCGGCAAATGCTTCTCCAAATTCGCTGTTTCCGGTTTCGACGGTACGACCGTCATCGGAACCAGTTATCATTGATTTGATACGTTCCACGACAAGGAAACCAATCACCACTACAGCTCCTATTACGTGGAAACCGGTACCGATCGTTAAACCAGTCTCAAATCTTGAAAAATCATCAGCAACCGAAAGCACCGCCGGTCCTTTCACTTGGAAGCCAGTACCTACCCTTCCGACTACAGGAAATCCTATTAGAAGTACGCAAACATTAGCAAGTAGTACTACTAAAGCAACAAGCACCAGTGCAGCGCCAGTCGTTATTACGGCTAGGACTGTAACTACTCCAAGACCAAGAAAAACCACTACGGTTCCACCTAGGCTAGGCTTTGGCGCAGGCTTCCTGGAAGCTCTCTTTGGCGGAAGTCTATTCGGAACTGCAACTACCCAAAAACCGGTTCCGACTACAAGAAAAGCCGTAACAGCAAGAACAACGACAACGACGACGACAACAACAACAACAATAACGACGACGACGGCAAAGCCAACAACGACTACTGCAAAGACAACTGGCGCTCCGCCCATTCCAAATAATTTGAAGACTTCGGGTTCGATTCAGAGGAATGTCGAAGTGAAGCCGAGAATCGTGGACGTGTCGAAGATTCATGTGGTCACGCCCAATAGTATTCTGTCGGCGAGTGAGAAGCCAATTTCCCCGTCGATTCCGACACTGCTGAACAATCCTAATCCAAGAGTTCCAACACTGCCGAGCTCGACGTTCTCACCGGAAGAAGATGCCAGGTTCCTGGCGGCGCTCCTGAAGAATGCACAAGCAGTAGGGAATTCCGGAACTAGCGCTGGATCGCCTGCACCGATTTCCAAGGATGACGAAGCCTTCCTTAGGGCCATTTTAAGTGGAAAGGCCAAGGTCGAGCCAGCCACTTCCGGGAACAATGACGCTGCCTTACTGGCAGCCTTTCTTAAGGCTCAGGGTATAGAACCATCCACACCGGCGAACAAAATCCGAGAGGATCTTCGTCTAGCTGTGAGTCTTCAAATGAGATCTTTTGATTTTCTCCAAACAATTATTTTTTTTTCTTTTATCATGTTTTCATCAAAATCTTCAGAGTCTGCAGAAGAATCAGGCCACTCCGACCAGATCCTCCGACGGATCCTTTAACACGAATAAACCCAGGACGACGACGCAGTGGTCCCCAAGTTCGACCTATCCTCCGCCATTCTTCGGCCCTTTGGCCAATTTAGGAAGTTCTCTCGGAGTGGGGCAATCGACGAGCACCAGGAATGGCGACGACACAGTGCGCAGTCAAGTGGTGAACGCTGCCATTGGCGCCACCAAGGCTTTCAGTCAGTTCCTCGGTGCTGCCATCACGGTAAACATTAAAACCTCGTGTCTTTCGCTTCATACATATTCGGATCTAATTCCTGCCTGTTTTCAGGGCGCAGCACAACAACTTCAGTCCTTCGTGAAGAACGGTACGAGATACGTCTCTGACGTGGTCGGATAAATATCGCAGCCTTCGTTCTTCGCAAGATGGACATCGGCTACACTCCCGCGCGATCAATTATCCGGAAGTCACGCTATCATTTGCCTATTAGTCAATTAGCATTTAATCCTGCTGATTATCAGAACCTGAATTTCGCTTCGATTAATCTCAGAGAACAGAGTTCCTAAGAGTGAAGCAGTTTAAAATCTTTTTTTTTTTCACTGACCAATCACAAGGAACTCCATTTAGCGATACCTAATCGCGACGCATCGCAGCGGGAGCTACAGAGAAATATTTCGAATTCAAAAATTCGAATCTCCCGCCATTTGACATTTTTCATTCTTGCGCTAATTATATTATGCCCACGACTCTCCTCGAGAGTAGAGAATTGCCTTTAAATTCAATTGGACACGTTTCATCTTCTTTGTTTTTAATATTTCTATTCGTTTATTTTTCTTCCTGCATTCTGTGACGTTTCCTATCGACGCGCTTTGCAAACGTCTCTGGAGTATTGCCCCACGCAGGACGCAACTGGAAATATTCCCTGAGACATTTGTAACGTTGATTTGTAATTATTGTAATTAATGATTTTATACGCGGACATGGCGTTCCGCCTCGCACGCGCCTTCGCGTACTGTGACAATTGTCGGCGTCCCGACGCCACCGTTCGTACAGGTTAGGAGGCCATAAGCAGATCAAACCTTCGGCTGGAGCTAAAGTCGACGATTCTAGAAAGTAACGGCTGGTGAATAACTTAAATAAACTATATACATATGTATACACTTGTCATTAAGAAGTACAGCGACAAGGAATGACTATGTTTTGTATAAATAATGTATATGTATGACGTTTCATAGTAGAATGCTGTGTTTTGTATAATAAACTTAGATAAGTTGTACATAGACTGTTACGATAATTGTTGCATATGCGTGCTGACCCGCGCATGCGCCTACCCCCACCCACCTCCCATGAAATAGTTTTCCGGTATTACGTAAGAGCAGGACTTCCCATAACAAAAAATGACAAATCCAAATCTGAAAAGTAAGATGAACGGAAAGGAACGAAAAAAACCTGAAATTTTCTAATCGCATTAAAAAGCGATGACGGATTTTCATAATTAATTGGCCCATGCTTAACCCTCGAGCATTCTATGCGAGTCTTGCACACACACACTGTACATAAATGTGTACAGTGTGAGACTGTACTTTTTTGTCGAGCTTCGTCGCCTGGGAACAACTATGGCTGAACGCACCCCGCCGTCCTTTTTTTTCCTCCAAACCATTTCTTCATTTCTTTTTCGTATTCCTCCCCCGCCCCTCACTTTCTTTCGACTGCGTCAAACAATCTTCGCCGCGCGTGAAAAAAGGGCGAGGGTCATCAGTTTCCCATAATTACACCGGATAAGGGATATTTAATTGCCATCGACGAAAAAGAAGTGTCGCTTAGGCGTCGAAGTGACAACAGAAGCACAAAGTACGGTGAGTAAAGCGGCGACGTCGAACTTGAGGGGGGATAGAATTTTTTTAAATGCAAAAGACTTATAAGACGCGCGTGTACGATCGTGTAGGACTACACGCGTAAATCCTTTCGGAGTTTAAGGAAAACAATAAATAAGTCCTGAGAATGGCGCTCGCGAAATCACAGCCGACGGTGTTGGTGTGTATGTGTTCAGTGGGATAGTAGCAGATGCCGTGCGCCGTCGCGTAATTTAAATAAATTAACACAAACGCAAGGGAGGCCAGGAAAAGGATTGGTGGATCGAATGGATCGGTGGATCGGTGGAACGAAGGAGCGCAGCAACAGAAGCACCTCTGGGTCGCCGTCGTGGAACACCCACGCGACCCTGATGTGCCGGTGCGCCGTGTAGCTGGGATGATTTTTTTCCTGGGATAATTACAGCTAATGGCAGTCATTGCGAATGCGCTACGTGTACCTCTACGTACCTTCTATGCTATATTGTATATACGGTAACACGTACAGTATTGTACAGTATGTATAAGAACGTGGATGCAGCATTGTAAGGCTCATGCACGTATGGCATTATGCCAGTCGATATTTAATTTATCGACTGAATCCGTAAGCAGATACCATTATCGTGGCTCCTGAGCAACCTGAGGAACCTGAGGAACGGCCGATCGAAGCATACCGATCCGATCTCTTGGTAACTGGACGCGATTGAGACGTACCCTCCCCCCTCCTACTTCGATGTGCCGATCTTACGTAGCTACATGCTTATGTACGTAGATACTCACGTACTCGGTGCTGATCCTTCCTTCCGCCAGACTCTGGATACTGAGAATTCACCTACACGAACTCTTTCTGGCTCTCGAATATCTCTGCCGTCCGGTGATACTGGTTGAATTGCTATCAAAGAGATTCAAAAGCAATCCGTGTAGCTCTATTGTACAGCGCGATGCGCATTTCTGCCTGCTCCGATCTTTGAACAAGGGAGAGGATTTTTTTCGTCTGGTTTCCCACGGCGGAACGAGACGATCAGCGATTCGCAGAATCATTGGAGGTCGCAGACAACTGTTATTGCTGAACGCAGAAGGGTCGGTGGAGGAGACGGAATAGCGCTCTTATAATTGGTAGAAGCCTTGCTAGAAGTACTTGCGAGAAGCGAATAGAGCAGCGCCATCTGGCATTAGGAACTGGATGCTTGCGAACAGTAAATCACGCGAGTTTCAGCTAGTTTGTATAGCTAATGCGAGGAAGAAAAGGAGGCGGTTGGTTCGTGGCGGAGAGCAGGGTGCGGGCGGGTCGTGTTGTTTATCGGCGACGGTGGCGCCACTGGCCGTCGGTGGAAAGGAGAGAAAGAGTAACGTAGGAGCAAAAGGCAGAAAACACCGGTAGGCAGTTTTGTAGCTGTTTTTATCAGCTTCTGGGCATCGGAGGTCCAGGCCGACGCCAGGACGCATCTTGGGGGGTTCGTGTGGGAACGTACGTCTCTTTAGCGAAGCTTCTCGCTGGCTCTGCCTTTTGCCTTTGCTCTCCTCTTTTAGTTCCATTTTTAGACCCCGAGGCTCTGCCTCCTCGCGTTCGCCAGCTACGCCAGGGACTTACTTGTTGCTCCTCTCCTTGGGCTCGGGTCAACGGGGTCACCCACCACGGTGCAGCGCTACGTGGTGCCCTATATTTACGCACGGTAAGAGCACCCTGAAGAGGTGGGCCCCCTTGCGACTTCGCATAGGGGGTGCTCAATAAGCGCCGGCTTCGATAATCTTAAGTCCCGTTCACACACGAGACTCTCGTGTTCTTCGATCGAACTCTGTGGAATCGCTACTGGATATGTTATTGAATATCGGCAGAAGAAAGTTAACAGGGATAATTTGAAACTTGGTGCCAGAATTCTTTAAAGTCGTCCACCAAATTTTCAGCCTCGAGGAACTCCATGGGAATCGCCTTTGCTTTTGTCAATGGCATTCAACGAAGTCTGGTCGCTTCTTCTGACGGGGAATCGCTGGCGATGTTTGTCCAGTTGTGAACGGTGCCTAATGTCTCAAGGAGACCCCATGCAAGATACCGCGGGGTGGTCGCAATAGGGAACGTTACGTGGATGCCGATGAAAAATCTCCGGTATCTCAAGAACAGATCCCTCGAACAATGGAATATCTCTGGTGGACTCGCTCGATTTAAGTAGACAATTACCGAATTACGAGGAGATAATAGAAGATAGAGACTGAAATCACGACCTAGTCATTCTCCTTCGAGCACATTCCTCTCCGTCTAAATTTTTCGTTTTTTTTTTATTTTTTTTTTATTTTTTTTTATTTTTTTTTAAACTGGTCATTCACCACGATAAGACAACTATCCCTTCATCCTGATTACGAGGAACCTAATGAAAAGGGCTGCACGGAGTCTCCTTTATTTTTGCCCTTCGCCAGACTATCGTGAACATCTGGGCGTTATGGTGAAGGACAAGCACGGCAGCAAAGGGGCGCAAGTCCCGACGTATTTAAATGTGTATCAACCGACTCGTTCTTTTTTCTTCTTCTCTATTTCTTCTCGGGCTTCTCGTCTTCGGAAGAGAGAAAAGGAGTCGCACGTATATCGCTCATCCTCCGTCTTTTTTCCTCCCCTTCTCGTTCCCTCCTTTTTAAAAAAGGCCTCTTCCCACACTGCCCCCTGACAAACGGGACAAGACGGCGGCTGCTGCTAACGTCACTGCGACTAAGCGACTTTTATTTCACTTTAGTCTCACACGATTTTGCCCCCGTGAAAGGACCACAAAACCAGCTTCATTCACGAGCCGTTTCTCTGAATGGGCCGTTTCCACGTTTCCAGCCGTGACGTCAAAAGTCACGAGGACCCATACGCACACACGTGTGACGTCATCATCGGCGCTTTGACTTTACATTAAAGCCAAGATAACTTGGCAATACAGATTTACGAGACTCTTACTTGTCGCTTAACTTTTTTCGGCGGGTTTTTACCGCACGACTCCGGATTGACTTACAGGCCGGTAGAACGGGTCTGGTGAAAACTGCAATGGCGCAATGGTTGCGTAACGAACTTTTCAAATTCGATGGAAAAATCATCGAGGACCCTGGAACGTGTAATCGCATGGGAATTTACGTGACGTCAGAGAGGAATTTTGAAACTTGGTTTCCATGAACTTTGGAATTTTACAAAATTTTCAAGAATCCCATAGCAATTATGAAGTATTGGAATATCATAAATACGCTGAGCTCGAATATTTCGGTGGAATTCGAGGGGAAGGGAGGTTCAAGGGAGACGAGCGATTGTTAAGATTCTCTGCGGGAGGAAATATGTATCGAAAAGACCAGCATTGTTACTGAGTTATGCGAGGGTCGAAGGTCGCTCATTGTCAGATCAGAGAATCTGATTCGATTTTGATTTACTACGAATTACGATGCGTTTCGGTACATAGCTCTACGTATACATGCATGGATATATATATATATAAACAGTTATGCCTACTTGCTCAAGAGGATTAACTCGGGATCCAATAATAATCGGATCGTCCAATAGACGCACGATCGATTGGATTATCAGAAATCTAGATGTGAACGCCCCTTAAAGGCTGCCATTCCTTTCTAGTAATAATCTTTAAGAACGATAAATACTTGTTATCTCCAAATCAATAATTTCCTATAGGTTCGTAAGAAGAGTAAATACGTGGGAAGCAAATGAATAGCCTGGGTCGTGGCGACAGAAATTCATGAAAACGTTCAATATACGTTTAATATTAATCGTAGCAGCGACAATGAGTTAATAGCGAATGTATTTGTTTGGCCGCTCGAAGGCCGACGGCCAAAAAGGCTACAAAGACCGATAGCCCTTTCTCTTTATTATGACTTTTCGTTTCTCATGGAAACCAGGATTGGGCTTGCGCAGTCGTCACGGCGATTCGACGATTAAGTCGCGGTCGGAAGTTTTCATGAATCTACGGAGTATCGTAATGCATGGAGGAAGCGACGACGTATGTCCACGTCACGCGTCATCACGACGCTCGAGTCTCTGCGAATAATTCTAACGAGGCGTGAGAAGGGAAAATGTTGAGAAGGCGAAACAAATGAAAAATGGCAAAGTCAGAATTAAAATCAGCCACAAGATAACATTGAATATAGATTTAAGTAAATTAAATTTTCAATTTGAACGGTATAACTCAACTACAATTTTTAACAAAAGTTTTCTCAGCTGGAATTCGAGTCTCTGTCCGAGTAGAAAATCTACAGAGGAATCCACAGTCCGCAGGCATAATGTGGGAGCAAGGTCCAAAACAAATATCTGGAGTATGTACGTCCCTGAAAATGATCTGCTCCCCTCAGACTACCTCACCATCCTCATGACCCTTAACTGGAAACCATAGCAGTGGCTGCTTACGCGGGGGGAATTCAGAAAGGCTCTGATGACGCAAGGACTCGGAAGGTGGGA